TGCCATTCATTGTATTCCAATAAAAACCATTGCGTACTTTTGAGCAGCAACTAATATTCTGCTACTGTATAAATTCGAAGCATAATTTTAGGTGGTCATTTTGTGGGGGTCATACACTGATTTAGAATTTTGGTCGAATCCCTTATAGATTGAGTTAAAAGAAATTATATTTTCTTAAATAATTCTGCTATTTTTTTAAATAGTTCTGCTACTTGGTAACTACGTGGTAACAGTTTTGAATACATTTACATTTTACATATTCATTTCTGTGCAATTAATGCTAACCACATCGACCACCCTCTGATGGTCCTCTCCCCATATCTATTCACTCGATCAAACACCCCTCACATTTGATACCTACATACATATACATATATCTCCTTACACTTGATCAATCGGCTTATTATCTCCATCTTCGATTCACTATTTATGTGTCAATTAATTAAGCCGAAATGGGGAAATAGCTAAAATCAACCACAACAGCGTAGAAAAATGCCAATTGAGTCGCCTTTGTGCGGAGTGTTTTGTTTGTTGCCGGCTCAATCAACAATCACGAAGTGTTAGACGTTCTTGAGTCGTCTCCGTCTCATATAACACCCACACAAAGCACGTTCTTTTGTTGTCTGGTTAAAAAGAAAACAGAACTGAAATTATGCAATTGTTTTGGAGTGGAATTGTGGAACAAAGAAACCGAAAATGAAGTTGTAAGGTATTGGAGTTTCTGTTCTACAGATATTTTCTATCCAGTTTCTATGCACGTTTTTCTCTATGCCCCAAAGTTCCTGGTTCAGCATTCTTTTACCACTTTTAAGCAACAACACTTCCACTCAACATCTAAGACTTGGATATTAAATAATCTACGATAACTGGTCAACTTGTTAGTGCCTTTATAGGTCTTCTTTTACCAGCTACTACATTTACATATTGTGTGGTATCTTTTATGTCATCTAAAAGTATATTATTGTCTCCAATACTTTCACTGGCTGGGCATCACCTTGTGGAGGGTTCAAGTGCGAATATTTGTTGTTGTAGACGAACCGGTTGCACCGAGGCTCAGGGAGAGGGAGAGAGACCCGTGGGGCATCTTCAATTGTTGTTTGCCGATGCCGTTTGTCTTGTGTTTGCCGATTATAAATTGTAAAATTTTAATTTTAATTATACATATATTACCGATACACGATACACCCTTTCCCCAACCATTCCCTAAAGCCATTGAATTATGTTTGAAATAACGTGAGCCATATATGTATATCCAACACTTGAGCGACTTTTCGGAGGCAGCTTTTATTATTGTCTTACATTTCTGTTTTATTATTTTTGACTAACGGAGTTTTTACTGTATTTTTTTTGTGGGTTTTGTATATTGTTTTTTTCAAATATCATTTAAACGATATTTTATTTATATTCGGTCGAGTCTGTTTTTACGTAATGCCTCAAACCGGACCTCGAGATGTGGCAGATCTTGACGCCATTTGAAGAGCACTAAAAGTTCGATATTTAGTGCCAGGCACACGAAATTCTCGAGGCTGAAGATTGGCCATTGACCATTGGCCATTGGCCGCCGCTCTATGATATGGTGAGGTGAGGCTCTTGTGATTAAGAAACCCCTTCAAGATTCCAACAACACACACAACACATAAATACCACACATAGGAGAACCGGCTTCTTCCAAAAATTCCCCCTAATTTAAATACGACAATTTGGCAGCTGACTGACTAAGGATTTCGGTTTTGGTGTGGGGGTCACATGCATATTGCCGTATTGCCGTATATTGTCGTACCGCGGGGCTTGGCTTGGCTTGGGCATCCGTGTTGACAATTAGCAAGTGTTTGGCCCAAGACCGAAAGTAATATAAGGTTTATATGCGACTCCATTGCATTTATTAATTATTATTTACGAAAAAAACACGTCGCCATTCGCCGCGACTTCAGATCACATGAGTCTAACCACCAGACATCACCAGCAGCAGCATCAGCATCAGCAGCATCTAACAAACAAACAAGAAAGGAAGGGGTTGGGCAAGCATATGGGACTCGAAGGTGTAGATACCCTTAAAATTGAGAGTTCCTATGGAACATAATGGAGAAGCTAAATGATGATCTTTCAGTGGGGAATCCGTTTGAAAGAAGTTATCCGGATATTTCCTGTGATGTAGAGAGACTTTTTCTACAGCCTGTGCAAATTTTAGAGCACATAATCACAAATGCTTCCTGCTTTGCCTGGTGAACTTCTGATCAAAATTATGATACCCCTCTACAACCCGTAAGGGTATACAAAAACTAAGCAAACAACTTTTTTGGATAATTTTTTGGATTGGATGTTTTCTTCAGTTAGAGCTTGGGTCGGGGCTCGGCTCGGTTCCTGTTACTACCGTCGCAGCAGTGTCGTCAGGCTGCAGAGCAGAGGGTAAACCACATAGACAAACAGCCGCAAACGAAACGAAAAAAGAAACAAGAAACGAAACGAAGCCAAGCCAAGCCAAGCTAAAGATTAGCATTAAGCACGTGATGCCATCTTGTGATGCTAGTTTTTGGTATTTCGTTTTTTTTAGAGACATCTCTGAAGATACACAGATACACTGGTACGTGGATATCATTGTGTTTGTGTGTGTGTGTGTTTCTGTGCTGTAATTAAGCGAGCGGCAGCTGAAATGGTCGTTTAAATGTAATTTCAGCTCACTTTTTGCATGTTTTGGTCAACAGAGGTGACAAATTAAGGCCCCCTCCATCGCAAGGTCATGTGAGGGGCGTCCATTAGCCATGAAGACACACACACACTGCCACAAAAAAAAAAACAGCAACAGAAACAGAAATGACACCGGCTTCAGGTGTGTAAATGCTGTGGCATTTACATTTGTGGATGCACTCCTCCTCACCGCGGTGGTTGCCTTGATTGATTGGAAAGTTAAGGTTGTCTATCATCATCATCATTGAAATGAGGAAAACATAATGCCAGCTAATGTGAGATTATGCAAATCAAAATGCGCATCTCTCAACCTATAGGCTATATCAACAGCTACAGCTTCATCTTCATCTTCATCTCTTGATAAATACAATGACCTGCATGCCTGCCTCCAAGCCTGCGGGCGGCTACAGCAAAATCAACACAACATTTTTCGTTTTTCGATGTTTAATGATGAAATTATACCGAAATAAAATGAAAACAAAGCGGACAGAATGCACTTTCTACGGGTGAAAAGGGATTTGGTAATTTGAAGCGGAAATTACATGTGGGAGTAGGTTTTTGGTGAGGGCTTTTCTTTTGTTAAGAATGGCCTTTGTGGTAAGCATCTTCATAGTGGGAGTCATTGGTTAAAATAATACCCATTCGAACAAATGCGATCAATGAAATATTTAAGAACTTCTCTATATATTTTATGCAGCTTTTCCTGCTACATCTTTATGAATGAATAAGGGGAATACCATTCGGATATGCCCAATTAATTTGATCAGAGGCTATGACTAATTTAAAATTTCCATATATTTCTAAGGAAAACTCTGCAAAACTGAGGGGATTACCATTCGAATGATTTAATATTTGTGTACCTTATAAATTTGATCAGAATTGATTAACTTTTGACTCATTTCAAACACATCGAAAGGCGTTAATCAGCCTTCGAATGTTGCTGAAATATCATAATTCTGAGCTGCATATTTCTAGATATATACATGTATGTACAACCCCTTAAAACCTGCAATATTAATTCACAAATTTCACTCTTAAAAATTGCTGTAAAGTCGCGTAAAGGTCTAAATACTTTTGGCTGATTTCAATTAGCAATTCCAGTGTGTGACGAATTCGTACGAGTGTGTGGGTTTTTTTTTTTTTTGGTTTGGTGTGCGGGATTTATGGTTTTTGAGCCTCTTTTTGATGACATTTAGCCATCCAATTTATGGCCGGGCAGACATGCGCCACCTGTCGCCCCTGTTTGCTTGGCATTTTAGCACCCCGACACTAATCGAAATGTTTGGCCAGATAATTAACTTGGCCAAGCGGTGTACCCAAGAGATGGCGATGTCTGTGTCTAGTCGTGGCGGGGGATGCCCTCTCGCTGATAAGTTGCATTCGATTTCTAATTCGCTTTATTTTCATAAATGATACTTGGAATACTCGTACTTGAATGGATTGCCCAATGGGGGAGAGACCTTTGCAGCTGGAATTGGAATAGAGACTGGATCTGGGACTGGAGACTGGTGTCGGGGCTCTGGGCTCTGAGTATGGGTAATAGGTAATGGGGTTTTGGGCGCTTACATCACAGCAGGAGGTAGACCCAACAGCAAGATGGTGTCTGGTCTCGAGACTCGTCTCACAATGAGATGAAACTTGTTTCCTCTCGACTCTTTGCCAGCAATAAATATTTGCCTCCTCACTCGCGGTCTTTTTTTTGTCTCTATATTTTTTTTTTTGGCAAATTACAAAAATAATAAGAGAGACACAAAGCGCGTGACTCCTTTCACAAGATGCTTTTGGTTTGAAATCAAAAGTGCAGACAAAGGTGTTAAAAAAAAAGAGGTAACAACAAAGCCTGCGATGGTGTGTGAGTGTGTGTGTGTGTATGTGTGTGGGCCCAAGTAAAATTGGCCAAAAATTGCCTCTGACCGCAAAAGCGAAACAAAAGCATGAGTTTTGGCCTGATTTTTCTTGTCTGTGCATTTGTATCAATGTCCATGGGGTCCCATGCTGTGTAGTGGAGTGTACGCCAGTCGCATCATTTTTTACTTTCTCCCCTTTGAAAAGAGCGAGAGAGCGAGAGAGAGAGAGAGAAGCTTAGGTGTTTGCCAAGAGAGTGAGTTTGAGGGAGAACCGGCAGAGAGCCGGCAAGCTTCGACATGTCCGCTGCCTACCGGTTTGCTTGGGTGACGCCGATGCCGATGCCGATGGCGACGCTGCAGCCGAAGCTCTCTTTCGGACTGAGGGGCTTACAGCAGATCCGTTTTGGCGTTTCTGTGCTTTGCCTTTTAAGCCCGGCCACCGGGACTGGCAGCTTTCAGATACGTTTTTGCTTCTGCCACAGTCAGAGTCAGAGTCTGGGTCTGGTTTCTAAGACAGAGTCTGAGCATCTGAGTCTGTCTTGGTTTCGGTTTCGTTTTCGTTGTCGCTGTCGCTGTCGTTTTCGGTTTCAATTTCGAACTCCGTTTGTCAGTTCGTTGGCGCGTTCGCACGTATCGAGACGTGTGCACGGCGTTTTTTTCTCTACACACCCCAGATAGTTGTCGCTTGGTCGCTTCGTCGCTTCGTTTTTTGGCCAAAATAGGCTCATCGTTTTGCTATTCGGGTCAATGCTGTGCTCTGCATTGCCAACGTTATGCTAATTACCGAAAGGATACAAATCATAGCATACATCATCGGTTACAATCTCTTTGGCAAGACGACACCGTCCGATCATCTCCGTTGGTAAATTCTTCGCCGAGTGCTTTCAACAACCCAAACTGAAATCAACTGAAATTCACCCTCGAAGAATATCCAATCTCAAAATTATACAAATATTTATTTAAAAATATCCATCAACAAATTTGCAAAACGTGCCAAATATAATTTAAATCTATTTATTTTGTTTAACAAAGAGCTAATAAGTCTAACTATATAAATTATTAAGTCGTTTAATTTAAAACCCCCCCCACCATAAAATCACAACCTACAAAACCACAAAGGAGAGTTGCCGAAGGAGCAGCCAATCGACTGCTTCGAAATGAATAAGCAAAAAATGCTTTTTAGTTTAATTTTATGGTGAGTTTTTGCCGTCCTTAAATGGTTTTTATTAATATGATAATACGTCTAAGTTGTGAGTGTTATTTGAGTGTAATTTTGCACGCTGCTCAATTTAGTTCTGAGTGCCCTTAATATTTTCTGATTTCATTTATCCTTGCGAAAAAGTTATATTAAATCTAACTTTATTGTTCTGATTTAAAATCAATGGTTCAGTATATTTCATAATAGTTTCCTGATAGTTTCAAATTTTTATGTTTTCTTTGATTTCGAATTTCTAAATTCATTAAATTTGATCTTTAATTTTGTGTGGCTTTCGGAGATCTTTTATTCTGTTATCCTTTTATCCTTTTGGGAATTTTCCTTAGCACCTTTTAAATATTAGTATGGTTTCATTCATAGATTTATCAGCAATATTCAGACAATCCCCGATATTTTCTAGATCTAAAGTTTCAAAGTTTCAACTTCAATTTCTGCTCATTCTCTTTCTGCTTACGAATTCAACTTCTTTCATATATCCAAACTTAAACAGCTTGCATTAGCATACGATAAATTCTTTTGAATTTGAAGATATTTCATAATTTATGAACATGTTTTTCATACATCATTTACTGTGCAAACTGTTTGACCTTTGAAACATGTTTTTTGTGGCATAATTTTGGTTGCATTTATGGCTATATTTATGCATTAGCCTGAAGCACTAAGAGCTGGGGCCCCCAGAAGGCCTACTGCGAGTACACACGCAGTAAAACGCAGATGGACGGCCATTAAGCCAAATTATGGCCGCTGCGGAATTCGGCTGTTATGCTGGGCCGAGGGATCATTAATCACGAATTTTCTACAACTCATCACGAGTCGCCGCGGGTTCAGCGAGAAGCGTCAACGGAAGTCAAAGATTGTCAGAGTCGGCGTCAGCTGATGGCACAGCGATGCCACTTCCCCATTCGCCTGGTCCTTGGGTCAGTGTATTAATTATGAATACTATTCGTATTATTAAAAAGAATTTGCATTATCAGAAAAGGCAAAACGAAAGAAGAGCAGCAACCATTTGATAAAATAGAGACATAAATGGACACAAATATTTATTGATCGAGGCAGTCTCCCAGTCGGTCATGTAATCTTTTCGAAGCGATTCCATTCAAATCGATACGCATCGAATTGGATTTCTTTGCTCAGCGACGACTCTCGCGGCCTGATGAGAAATCAATTTATTTTTGTTAAACGAGGTTTCACTTTCATTTCTCTCACTCTCTTCGCACGGGCGAAGATGCCAAAGTCGAGCTGAAAGCCAAAGCGATCCCCAAAGAGACAGCCGCAGCAGCAGCCGCAGCAGCAGCCGCCACCGTCAGAGCTGCCACACAAAGAGTCTTTTCGCTTTTTACGACGAGTAGTATGTTTGTGTGTCGTGCCAGGTGGTTTTTGGAACGGTTACACAATCATGGCTTTATTTTCGTTTTCGGTCTGGTCTGGCCTGGCATTTTTTTTTTCACTGCTTCTTTTTTTTTATTTCTGTATCTGTATCTGTGTCTTTCTTTTCTTTTTGTGTTAACCGCATTGACATAATTTCCAGCGTAGGCATCCCATCCCAATGCCCAAAACTTTACATAATTTTCAAGGCGTAGCCGCTGTACGGCTGCCCGGCTGTACGGCTGTACGGCTGCTCGGTTTTAGGCTGTAGGCCAGCAATTAATTTTATTGATGCTTCCGCTGATCTTCTTCTCTTTCTGTCAGATGGGAGATGGGATTGGGGGGGCCTACTTTTAATTAACAAATTTTGTTGGGCGGCTGCTAAGTGTAGAAAGTTTTTCTCCTCGTAGTCGATCGCATTAATTTGGCGCTCTTGTGTTAATCAACGTGTAAGTTATGCAAATTGAGACTTTTAAGCGGCGCGTTGCGTCGCTTATGCAATGCGTTGAATAATCCTGCATCGGCATCGGCATCGCATCGCATCGATCTTCGAGTGTGGTTGTCGGGCCTGTTCGACATTGGTGGGGCAACCTCTGAGGCTGAGGCTGAGGCTGGGGCCTTGGCCAGTGGCTGTGACTTCTTTGGCTTAGTCATGCGCTGCGGCTACGCTCAGAATGCAGCCAAGCAACTTGATTGCTCAGGCAAATTAAGCACAAGTGTTGGAGCTTACAATGAAGCTCCGACTCTGCCTCAGCCTCTGCCTCTGCACGTCTGCTGCTGTATCTCTGCCTCTCTGCTGCTGCCACTGCTGCTGCTGCTGCTGCTGCTGCTGACATTGTCTAGTTGACACACTTAAGTCACTTAAATCAAACTCGTTGTCGCCGTCGTAGAACTCTGGCTAAAAGTTTCGTCAAGTGTTTCACAGAAACACTCTCAAAATAACATAATTTTTAAAACATTTTTGTTGGCGTCAAGGTTTGTCGCCCCCAGGCGAGATGTCATTTGTGAAATTTATGGATAATTATGATTTTGGCCAGCGAAATCTTTTTTTTTTGGCAGAAATTAGAGCATTCGCGTGGGTCTGGGGCGGTTGATGAAATAAAAGACTTAGGCAACGAACTTGAATTGAAAATGGCAAGAGCGCGCGCTACGGTAGCAAGGCCAGGCCGGATGTGCGTGGGTGTGGAATATGGCCTGACACGTGCCCCAGGAGGGGCAGATTGGGTTGCACACAGCAGCGGGTGAGAGAGCAGTGCGAGGGTCATGATGATCAAGGTATGGGTGGATAGTATGTAGAAGAGATAATTTTAGCTGTCATTCGAATGAGTTGAACTCTTGTTGTGTCAATTTTTATGGCAGCCAATCAATCAGATACCAGAACTAAAATGTTGTGAGAACAAACTAAACATAAAACAGAAAACTATATGATTTTTGGGAAATTGAATGCCTTAATTTATCATGGAATAAAAACATTGAGTCCCAGCTTCACTCATAGCGTCGTATAAATTATCAAAAGGTCTCCCATCCCCATTCCTATGCTCTTGTGGCGATTTATCTATTTCAAAACAGGCTCCCCCAAGACATTCATTAAACCCATAATCAAAAAAAAAACATCCCAACTGGCGCCGCAAACGTATTTTATTTGTATTTAGAATTAGTCAAGATTTGTTGTTGTTTTTTGTTATCCAGAATTGCTTAAAAATCAATTAGCTCCGACAGTAGATGATAAAAACCTAATCAACGGACCAACAGAACGACGCGCGGGGTTCAAGGCTGAACCGCAAAACTGAAACCAAATTCTCAGCTTAGGCATATATTTCTTTTTTTCGGTATCTGTTCTGTTTTTTTTTTGGTTGGTGTGTTTGTAATTAAATTTGCAAGTTTTGCCCGTCTTTCGATTGTCTGTCATTTATCATATTTATATCCAGCTCGTGTCTGTGTGAGACACGTTTCTTATTTATGTCTATGTTTGCGCCACAGTCTGAGTCTAATATATTGACTAATTAATCATCGTTTTGTTGTTTGCTTGGTAGAAACTTAATCGCTGAAAGTTGATCCAGTGAAAAGTTGAATAAACCTTTTCGAGTGTGACGACGAGAACTCCTTTTCTTGTGGTCTCTTTTTTGTGTTCTTCCTGGTGAAAGGCATTCCGAGATCGAGATCGCGATCTCGATGTATGGTATGGCAGTAGTTGACCCTGAGAGATTATGCATAACTCTGTCGTTGTCCAACTCCAAGTGATTCAATAAATCAAGAGGCCATAGCCGTTGCTCAACTTGTTTTACTCCACCAAGAATATAATTCAACAGTTCCACAAATCCACAATCCACAGAAATATTTCTGCGACTGTCCGATCTCAGTGCCTGTCTAACCGCTTTACGATCGGTACATACATATATGCACATATGTATATCTACACACAAGTGTCCCAAAAAAACGGGTCCCAAACCACGAACAAAATAAAACTAATTCAAGCCATATGCACAGCAGCTGGAGTAGATAGTAGATATATATCTGAAAAAGTATCTCAAAGAAACAGAGCACCAAAAGCCATTGTCTGCTGCAGTTTTTTCTCCCCTTTGCGACCCATTAAATATGGCTTATATATATATGTCTGTACATACATCTTTTTAACGACTTATTTATGTGGGCTAAAAAGAAATTTATAAAAACCCAAATATAATATACAATCATTTCTTCTCTAAAGATAACGGTACAAGGCATCCGTTAATATTAAAAATAAAAAAAATTAAAATAAAAAACTTCAGAAAAACAATCAAAAATCATTAACAAGTAAACCAAAAATACCGAACAGACGAAAGTGAAAATTGTTGCTGTTGTTGCTGTTGACAGCCGACGTAATCAACTTCCACTTCAGTTTGAGCACAACACACAGGATGAAGTGGCGGCCAACAGGCTTGACTGGGCCTCATTTCTTGAGTATTTCTCTTGTCTTTTTTTTTTTTGAGTAATTTTCGACAAACGGAACTAAACATTTTGTTAATGTGTCTGTGTGCCTCTTCATTTAAAACTTAAAGAGCCTTTTGAGTATATTTTTTGTTGACTTGCCAGCCGAAACCTGTCTCTGGCTTCCGTCTTTTCAAGGTGCTGCTGCAGCTTGTCATTTTACATAATTTTTGTATGATGAGGATGCGTCTGTCTGCAGCTGTTGAGGAGAGTGAAGATGGGTGAGTGATACCCCATGGAAAGTTTTTTCTGAGTGTTCAGTGATGAATGAAGTGTAGATTGTATGCAGATGGTAAACGGAAATTTTGAAAAGTAATCCTCCATGATTTATGAATGGCAAGAAGGTGGGTCAGAAAATATGTGGGTGGTGAAAGAAATGCATTTACGACTTGAAAGAGTCCCCCGTTGACAGAGTTGAAGGGTGAGGGCTGTGAAAAATAAACAAGAAAATTAAATAAAAGTTGTATGAAGATATATGAATTATTACGAATTAAATAAATACTCAATACTTGTATAAATAATATTTTGGAATCGAAAGTAAAATATCTAAAAAAAAAAAAGAAATTTATTTGGTTTGTACTTCTAATAAAAAGACACCACAACATATGTACATATATTCGTATTTACCAGTAAGGTTATAACTTTAC